AATAAAGTTCGTTACTAAATATAAATGTTATAAAGATTTTTCATCTATCAAGTCATTGTATGACATTCATTACCATAATAAAAATAATGATTAGATGTGTATTTAGTTTGACGAAAAATACTAAAACAAATGATACAAAAATACTTGGAGGCTAAGCTCCCTGTTTCTGCCGCTCAGCAACCCCGATGATTGCTTCGTAATATTGTTATTTCTTGGCATAAAAAAAGTTTTTCTATGAAAGTTGAAATTATTCATTTAAAATTAATGTACTCAAAATAATTATGTCAGTTTACGCTTGTGCCACACCTAGCAGGTTCCTAAGTTTTAACATTTCCTTTTTATGATTCTAATAAGATCTATTAGTGAACATAAATAATTTTGATTAATTATCATTTATTAAAATAACTATAAGACTCTGCCCTGTTCGCTCCGCTCATCAACCCTCATGGTTTCTTCTCATTCATTAATATTTCTTTTATTTTCACTTTACCCTCTACACACCGAGTACTTTAAAATGCTGTTTTTGAACTAATATAGCACTAAATAATTTAAAATACTTAGTCCTAGTAGTACAATTTATCTGTGCACGTAGGTCGCGCAGTGTCCCCTATTCCATCCATTACGAATTTATGTGCAGTTCGTGCCGGATCTTAACGGACAGCAGTTAGTGAGGTTCCTGTATAGCCTCCACACGGTTTTTTATAGGTAGTCCGATCAGACCACTATGAAGGATATCCACTTACCGAACGAGTCTTTTAATACAGAATATAGTTAAAATAGGAAAGTGGTAGCAAATATATGACTAAAATTTTTTTTAATTTATGAATATTATTGGTTTGCCTTATTCACTTGTCAACCACTGCAGATTCAATTCTCAAATATATAAGATAAATTTCTCTCAATTACTTTTATAAAAGGTTTTGGGTTTATTCGCACAACTGTTTCACTTTTTAAACAGTCTGCGCGGACTACTTATGAAAGACCGTGTGGAGGCTTCTTGATGTAGGAGGTGATGATATACTTCAAAATACAGAATACTGTATGTTTATATAATTTTTAAAACAATATGGTTATTATTTATTAAGTGACAAAATATTTTAATTTTAGAGTGGTGATTGTTGTTGGAGTGCGAAGGGTTAACAGCCAGAGGAAAAAAAGTTAATTTTGTTTATAAAATATTGAATCATTATAATTTTATGTAAGCACATTTAATTAGTAAGTAAAAAGAAACAAAATAAAATGATATCTGGATTTGAAAATTATCAACTGTACTTGAGAAGGAAAAAAATTAAACTGAGGAACGCAGAATGTGTAACACAATACAAAGTAATAAATTAGAAGAAATTTTATAATATATATCAGTAACCTTATGCAACGATACCCTAATTTATTTATTTTATTTTAACAGTTTGTTTTGGGAATAGTTTTTATTCTCTCATCGGTCTTAGTATTTTTAAAAATTTTAATAAAAAAAAAACGAGATTCATATCTAATAATATCTTAGTTCTTATTCTTTTATTTATTTGTTTTCTTATTTTAAACATCGAGTCAAACACGGGTTTATAAAACAATAGTCGCGAGAGATACAACAATGGGTATTTTGGGCTATGATTTGAAGAAATTTTTTTTTAAAAAATACACAAAAAATTGCAATAATTGGAATTATGAAAAAAAAAAATTCTCTCGTAAATTTAATAAATCAAAATGGTCTTAACAGCACGTAAATATCAACTCTGTAGTTGCATTTCAGCAAGCAGTAGATCAGCCAACACTTTTTCCTCTACTATAAGTTTAACAGTTAATAAATCTAGGACTAACAATCATACCATAAAACCTTTTATTCCATAACATTCTTTATGCAGGTTTCAACACATCTTTGTAATTTCCTTCACACCGTGGCAAAATAAAATTGCAAAAAAGTACTAAAAATTATTCTGATAAAAATTGAATAAATTGATCGAATTTCGAAAAAAAAAGAAAAACAAAACAACTTAAAACTGCTAATTTGTTGAGATTAAAGATTTCCTTTTTTTTTTAAAATATAATGTTATCACAGTTTTAAAAAACGCAAACCAATATGGACGCCGCTAATTATATCCTAATTATTTTTTTTACATAAATTTCTCCTAAACAAAGACATATATATGCCTAGCATGGACATATATACATACTTACTGATTGCAAAATTGTATTAGTATAATTTTGTCAGAAAAAATTAATGGAAAATCTTAAATATAGCATGCTTCATATTTCAAATTCGAGTAGATGATAACCTTGCAGTTTACCCGCTACGAAAGATACTAAAGGATGTAGTGTAACGATCAATTATTCCTTTAATTGGAAAAACTATTAAGAGGATTAAAATGCAATTTAGAATTCTACTCCTATAACTTAGAGTTATGGTGTCAAGTAGAAAAAAGAAATTTTTCACTTGGTATTCACTACCACTTTTTTCAAATAGGTGTTTTTTATTTAGGAAAAAAATTTTTGGAACCGGTGTTTTGTGGGTTATTGTTTAATAATACTATCATATAATTAATTTTAGATGTAATATAATGTATGTGTTATATGTAAAGTCTATTACTGAAAAAAAAAAAAAAAANATATTACGAAGCAATCATCGGGGTTGCTGAGCGGCAGAAACAGGGAGCTTAGCCTCCAAGTATTTTTGTATCATTTGTTTTAGTATTTTTCATCAAACTAAATACACATCTAATCATTATTTTTATTATGGTAATGAATGTCATACAGTGACTTGATAGATGAAAAATCTTCATAACTTTTATATTTAGTAACGAACTTTATTAATATACAAAGAATATATATATATATATATATATATATATTCTTTGTATATTAATAAAGTTCGTTACTAAATATAAAAGTTATGAAGATTTTTCATCTATCAAGTCACTGTATGACATTCATTACCATAATAAAAATAATGATTAGATGTGTATTTAGTTTGATGAAAAATACTAAAACAAATGATACAAAAATACTTGGAGGCTAAGCTCCCTGTTTCTGCCGCTCAGCAACCCCGATGATTGCTTCGTAATATTGTTCTTTCTTGGCATAAAAAAGGTTTTTCTATGAAAGTTGAAATTATTCATTTAAAATTAATGTTACTCAAAATAATTATGTTAGTTTACGCTTGTGCCACCCCCCAGCAGTTCCTACGTTTAAACATTTCCTTTTTATGATTCTAGTAAGATCTATTAGTTAACATAAACAATTTTGCTTACTTATAATTTTTTAAAATAACTATAAAAGACTCTGTTCGCTCTTCTCATCAACTCTCATGGTTTCTTCTCATTCATTACTGTTTCTTTTATTTTTACTTTACCCTCTGCACACCGAGTACTTTAAAATGCTGTTTATGAACTAATATAGCACTAAATCATTTAAAATACCTAGTCCTAGTAGTACAATTTATCTGTGCACGTAGGTCGCGGAGTGTCCCCTATTCCATCCATTACGAATTTATGTGCAGTTCGTGTCGGATCTTAACGGACAACAGACAGTGAGGTTGCTGTATATACTTTAAAATGCAGAATACAGCATGTTTATATAATTTTTAAAATTCTTAAAATAACATGGTTAATATTTATTAAGTGACAAAATATTTTAATTTTAGAGAGGTGATTGTTTTTGGAATGCAAAGGGTTAAAAGTCAAGAAGAAAAAGTTTATTTTGTTTATAAAATATTGAATCCTTATAATTTTATGCAAGCACATTTAATTAGTACGTAAAAAGTAACAAAATAAAAGGATACCTGGATTTGAAAATTATCAACTGTACTTGAGATTCACATAAAATTGCAGTAATTGGAATATTGAAGGAAAAAAAATACTCTCGTAAATTTAATAAATCGAAATGGTCTTAACAGCACGTAAATATCAACTCTGTAGTTGCATTTCAGCAAACAGTAGATCAGCCAACACTTTTTCCTCTACTATAAGTTTAATAAATCTAGGACTAACAATCATACCATAAAACCTTTTATTCCATAACATTCTTTATGCAGGTTTCTACACACCTTTGTAATTTCCTTCACACCGTGGCAAAATAAAATTGCAAAAAAGTACTAAAAATTATTCTGATAAAAATTGAATAAATTGATCGAATTTCGAAAAAAAAAGAAAAACAAAACAACTTAAAACTGCTAATTTGTTGAGATTAAAGATTTCCTTTTTTTTTTAAAATATAATGTTATCACAGTTTTAAAAAACGCAAACCAATATGGACGCCGCTAATTATATCCTAATTATTTTTTTTACATAAATTTCTCCTAAACAAAGACATATATATGCCTAGCATGGACATATATACATACTTACTGATTGCAAAATTGTATTAGTATAATTTTGTCAGAAAAAATTAATGGAAAATCTTAAATATAGCATGCTTCATATTTCAAATTCGAGTAGATGATAACCTTGCAGTTTACCCGCTACGAAAGATACTAAAGGATGTAGTGTAACGATCAATTATTCCTTTAATTGGAAAAACTATTAAGAGGATTAAAATGCAATTTAGAATTCTACTCCTATAACTTAGAGTTATGGTGTCAAGTAGAAAAAAGAAATTTTTCACTTGGTATTCACTACCACTTTTTTCAAATAGGTGTTTTTTATTTAGGAAAAAAATTTTTGGAACCGGTGTTTTGTGGGTTATTGTTTAATAATACTATCATATAATTAATTTTAGATGTAATATAATGTATGTGTTATATGTAAAGTCTATTACTGAAAAAAAAAAAAAAAACAGAAACTGAGTTTTCTTTTTAGAATTCAGAGCAATGCTCCGACATTAGGATAATCCGGTATTTAGCTTTCCTACCTAATTATTTTAATTCGTCATAATTTCTTACTTGTACACTTCAAATTTAAAATCATTTTATAAAATAGGATAATTCTCGATTCAATTAAAATTTATTAGCTTTAATACATACTTTTGTTGAACATAATTTTCATTTGTTATTTTTTTCTTTGTTTCAGTTATACTGCGGTGACGTGTTATCTGGAGTAGGCATTCAGCCCATTCAGTCACAGAATATCCCACCCTCAAAACCGCAACCAAAACGAGATTCGCTACAACTTCATCTGCCAGTAATTCCTCAACAGCAATCAAATTATCTGATTTTGCCTAAATCAAGCTTCATTTTGCCGAAAAACAATGGACATCTGTTTGGAGCACCATCAAACAGAAACACTAATCGAAGGCCTGCAAATGGTCCACCTGAGAAACTTCGACCAGAACTTCAGAGAAACAAACAAAGAAATCCACCACAAAACAGAAAACCGAATTTGCAGTTTAACAATGGCCCTCATCAACCAGCTGCAAGTCAGCAGCATAAGCACGTACTATCCAATCTTCAATATCCACCAAGGAATAACTTCAAACTCCAAATACAAGAAGCTACAATTCCTCAAAACATAAAACCAGATCAAAATGGTCAAAACAGGCCTCCAATTTTACCAAACTTTCAAGTTCATCCACCATTAGTAAACCACAATCCAAATGAATTCCTCCACAATGGTCTGCCTCCACGTAAATTGAAACAAAAAAATCATCAAAAGAATATTCCGGTCCTTCTACCAACACACGACATTGAATCGGGGCATATTGGCGAACCTTCTCAGGAAATAAAGCATCAAGTGCCCATATTGCCTCAAACAGGTCCTGTTGATATTGATCTTGCACACTTACTCTCAGCCCCACAGCATGAAAATGAAGTAGTAAAGCATTCGTTTTCACATTCAGTTGAAGTACATCCAGTATCCGGAGTTGAAAGCTCGCCACAAGATTTGCACGAAGACATTCATAAACTGCAACATGCTGAGAAATTAAACGGTGGTCCTTTCGATGAGTTGCAAGCACACATTGCGAAAACCCATGGTGATCCACTGCAACAAAATATTCCAGGTCATGGATTTCCATTCCCCGATTTTGCAGAACCGGAACCAGGACCACAGCTAAAACACTCCAACTTTCCTCTGAGTCCGAATTTAAATCTAAACAACAGAATAATAACTCCAGAGGAATCGAAACAAAGTCAGGTAAGTGTCAGAGCTAAGGCATCTGATGTATACGATCAGGCAAAAGAAGAAAGCGCGCCGATTGCGCTGTATGGTCAGGTTCTTCCACCCAATGATGCAACATACAGTTCCGAGATAAACAACTTCCCTGGCTTACATGACCACGAGAGTGCTGCTGATGAAGACAGATGGCCAATCATTTCACCCGAAATGCCAAAAATCGTGCATCTTGATGTGAAATGTGAAAAGAATTTAATGAGGGTATCCATTGATTTCGACAAGCCTTTCCACGGCATTATATATAGCAAAGGACATTTCAGTTACGGAAGGTGTGTACATTTACCAGCTGGATCAGGCCATAACAGTGTCCAGTTTGACATTTCCATCAACAGCTGTGGAATGCAAGGAAACTCTCCATCGGGACACTATGGTCCCACCGAAACTGGATCTTACTTCGAAAACACAGTCGTGGTGCAATACGATCCACTTGTGCAAGAAGTTTGGGATCAAGCACGAAAGCTGAGATGCAACTGGCATGACCAGTATGAAAAAACAGTCACATTCCGACCTTTCAATGTTGACATGCTTCAAGTAGTGAGAGCAGACTTTGCTGGTGACAATGTGGGTTGCTGGATGCAAATCCAAGTGGGTAAAGGTCCTTGGGCAAATGAAGTTGCTGGAATCGTCCGCATAGGTCAAACCATGACACTGGTTCTCGCAATTAAAGACGACGAAAGTAAATTCGACATGATGGTACGTAATTGCATCGCCCACGATGGCAACAGAGCACCAATAGAATTGGTTGACTCTTCCGGTTGTATTACCAGACCAAAATTAATGAGCCGATTCACCAAAGTGAAGAATTTCGGATCATCAGCATCTGTGTTATCTTTTGCTCACTTCCAAGCTTTTAAATTCCCTGATTCGACAGAAGTCCACATACAGTGCACAGTACAAATTTGCAGACACCAATGTGAAGAACAATGCAGCATACACAGGAGAAGAAAAAGGCAGGCAATTGTCGGCAAGGGCGAAGTCAGGGAGATAGGGCTGAACAGCATACTTCAAGTTGTAGCAGTTGAAGACCTCACGTTTTCTCCCTACCAAAATAAAACCGACGACGATACAAACAGAATCACAACTGAAAAGAGCAAAGTATGTATGTCTTCCTCAGGATTCGCAGCGTCCCTAATATTGCTCCTTTCCATAGTGGTCATATCCAGCTTGATTGCAGCATTTCTCTTCCTCAAGCAAAGAAACACTCCAAAAATGCCACCGCTTCCTTATGACATGGCAGTTTTCAAAAAGCATGTTGAAAAACAAATTAAGAAACAGCAGCAGCAACAACAGCAAAAGAAATTGTAACTTATATTGAAGTCATGATTATGGTGCACAGAAAATCAAAATTGGCATCCAAAACTAAAATATTATCAAAATAAAAAAAATTACTACCCACTAAGATCAATTTTGCAAAAATAATGCACTCAATTATGGTACAACATTAATGAAGTAAATGTTAAGATATTCTTAGCATATACAGTTATAATGTGATCAATTTATTTATTGTACCTAAAATAAGAAGAAGAAAAATTAGTAGAAATGATAGCTCAAATAATAGCCTTAACATTCTCGTGTATCCAGAACTTATAATGTAATATTTAAGACCTTATAGTGCTGTGAAAACATCTTGAAAGCTTATAGAATACAATTCTCAACTAGATTAAATAATGTTTTACTTCCTCTATTTTAATTTTTTTTAAATATTTTATGTGACTTTGTAATTGGATGCTACTTTGAAAAAATATATCAGATATTTGTAAATTATTTTGTATATATAAGAAGCTTTCTTTAACTTTCTGTGCAAGTTGAGATAGAAGTACAAATCAATAAGATTTGTACATATCAAGTATTAGATATTTTATAGTATTAGATTAGGTTTATACTAACAATTGACACAAAACATGTTAAAAGCACAAAGTATTAGATGTTCTACTACCTAATTATCAGTTAACAAATGCAGTTTATCAGATTCGAATGTAAATTTGTAAACTGCGTATAATTGTGATGATTGGAAACGAAATTTACTGTGGATATCTAGGAAAAATCAGATTAATTTTAAGCTAAATATTAGCAAAATAGCATTTAAAAAAAGGAAATACTTTTTAATAGTTCACAAACGAATACTATTTCTTTTGTATTCTTCATAAAAAATGAGCTTTTATTAGATACGCAAGATTTTTGCATATCATTTTAATGTTATTTAACCATTATATAGTTTTTGTAACAATTTGATAATTTTAAGTGCAACAAATTGTTATGGGGTGCCTTACAGTTTCTCCATTTTTATCACTTGCATCGAACTTCTATGTTACATTTATTTATTTATTTTGTGTTAATATGTTGAAAGAGTATTTTGTGTCCTCATATACGCTTCAAGCGTTGAAAATAGTAGCGTTTAAAACGCATTTCGGTACGTCATTCCCCACCTCATCACTGGTGCTGGTCGCCATTCCTCATGTCACCTTGTAAATGAAAGCTTTTTGTGTCATAAAGTTATTAGATAACTTTGTATTTATCATGAAGTCATTGTATAAAGTTTATGATGTTAACTTGACTATTTAAGGTGAACTTTGTTTTACATAATATAGAATAACATAGACAGAAATATGCAATTCTTTTTAGACTCCTGAAAATTTACTAAATGAATAAAACAAAAAAGCTAAAAGACAAGGCGCTGGATTTGAAAATTCCCCTACCATTACATCAAGCAAAATATTACCTCAAAAATAACATTTATTAATTACGAAACAATAAAATATTTATGAATTAAAACATTGATGCTAACTTCCACACTTATTGAGAAATGTATTTCCATAAAAAAATTATTATAACAAAGTGAGCAGAATTATTTTTTATTTCACTAATAGTTAATTTTCAAGTGGTTTATAAGTAATAGTTATCAATAAGTGACTTGTCATAGCAGTAAAAATCATTTTAAATCTAATTTATAAACCTCAAAATCAGAAATCAAAATATAAATTTCGTTATTACTACAAAAATTGTTTTCTTAAATTGTAAAAGTTGCTAGACACGCTAAAGTAAATATAATATTTATTAATACTATTAACAGCAGTTTTGAACTATAAGAAAATTTTTTAATTCTTCATTTTGAAAATTATATTGAGGGCATAGTCTTTTCAAATATTAGGTGCATAAAAAGGTAAAGATACTTTACAAAAATATTGGGAAATAATTTATTTAAAATAAATAGTCAAATTAATTATTAACAAATTGATCCTCCATCCCAAGACAAAATGCAAATGAGTTTGATTTCATGAAAAAAAAATTTTTTTTGGCGGAGGAAAATATGACGATTGAATATAATGATCAAAAATCACTAAGTGAAAGAATTGCATAGGGCCTGGACAAACTTCGCCTATAATTAGTCATAGTCATATCAACCCTAAATATAGTTTTCATGAAAGATATTATGTTATAAACTGGGAAAAGAGAAATAATGCAAACTCGACATACAGATTTATGCAGTGTTTTGTGTTTGTCTTACAAGTGTAATTTTATAGAATAGAAATGTCATCAGTGTAGTTCATTATGATCACAGACAGACTAGTCAGTCTGAGAACATGATTTCATACTCATTCACTACATTTTCCGCCATAATGAATGTAATCAAATTGTTTTATTGTGAAATAAAAATATTTATAAAAAAATTGTGGATTGGGTTTATTTATACGAAAAATTATTATTGTTAAAGCAATAAAATAAAAATTAAAAACCTTTGGTAAGCACATGGAAAGAAATTTTAAAAACACATAACAAAATTAAAAAAGTTAGAAGAAAATTATGTTTTTTTGTCACTTTGTGAAAATAAAAACTTAAGTAAAGATTAAATAAAACACTATGAACTAAAAATTATCTATTTTGACAACAAATACCTTTAGACTGACTAAATATGCTAATACATTAGTAAAAAATATAAATTTTAAACCCAAAATAAGTTAACTTAAAATTATATTTTGCATCTGGAATCAGTATATTTTAGCTGATAAAGTTTTTCATTAGCTATTATTTTCACTATTTAATTTTTCCATGCTTGTCTAAAGCAAGATGTCCGACAAAGTTCTAGAGAAAATTTCCAGGAATTTTATTCGGAAATTTCCAGAATAATTATTTTTCACAATATTTCTAAAATTTACTAATTAATAAAATATTAAATGGTACAAAAAGAAACCATATAAATTTAAACCAAACTTTGAAATCATATAATTAACAATTATAGATTTTTTCTTATACTTCTATTAAAAAAAATTAACTAAAGATTTACATTTTAAAAATGTAATTAGGTGCAATGTATAAATTAAGAAAATTATAACATGAATTTGAATAATAAAAGGAAGTTGCAATAGAATCAATTTTACTTTTACATATATTTAAACAATTAATCATTTTCTTATTTTTATCATGAATATTTACAAACAATAATCATTTTGAATGAATAAGTAAAATTTATAGAACAAATATGACTAATTGCACTTTTCCAATTACACGCATAAGAAAGAAAGACCTTGGTTTCAGAGAAGGAGAAACAGTTGCACAAGTAAAATAATTTTTTTCCTGGTAATAAAAAGTTGAAACCTTAAAAAAGCTTTACAAAAAAAATTCTAAATTTTTCTCAAGAATATAAAATTGTTTGAACATTAAATTTTCCTGGTTTGCTAGAGGATGGAAGACAAAAAGAAAATTAAAAAAAAAAAATATTATGCCATATGGTGATTGGAAAACACGAATAGATCTTCAACTGTTACATTGTAAGATTTTATTATTATATCTTAGTCTGAGTTTAAAAACTATTACCTTTCAGTGATTGAAATTTATATGAAATTTGAGGCAAATTCACTGAAGAAATCTGGAAGTTTTTTTTCCCTTTTTACTACACAACAGTTGAAAAGGATAGTTTAAGGGTATACCGAATTGTTTTTAACTACTTAGAAGAAAAAAATTCCATTATATCCTATTTTAGAGGCAAAAATAACTCCTATTTTGTCGTTTCCATAAAGCTTGTGGGGAATTTTCAGAAGAAACCTTGACTATTTTTGTAACCCTGCAGTGGAGAAACACTTTATAGTTACTAAATAGTTAATGACAGTGATATATTCAAACTGACTTGACAAACACTTTGAAATTAATAACTAAATATCAGTTAAATATACAAGCTGCACACACGAAGGGGGAAAAAACTGAACAAAACTATATTATTTCTCTTATCAATATTTTAAGAATACAATTTTTCAAAAACATTAATTTGTTACACAGTTCTACATAAGAAGTCAATCACTTCAAAATTTACTTACATATTATAGTAATATTCTTTTACATTAAAGTATATTAATTGAGTACTTTTGCTTGAAAGTATAAAATTCTATATTGCTCAAAAATGAAATAAATAATTAGTATTTNGTCAATCACTTCAAAATTTACTTACATATTATAGTAATATTCTTTTACATTAAAGTATATTAATTGAGTACTTTTGCTTCTTTGAGTACTTTTGCTTCTTTTGCTTAAAATTCTATATTGCTCAAAAATGAAATAAATAATTAGTATTTCAAATTAATTTGTCATAATTAAGGCCCGAATTTTGATGACATTTGCATTTTTTGTCCTTTAGAGCATTTTTTGAGATTTATAGGGCATTTTCTTTAAATTTTGGGGCGTATTTTGCATTTTAAAGCATTTTTTTAAAAATTTTTTGTTAATTTTTTCTAATTTTTATATTTTTTTATTATTACACTGGCCTCCAAACAATGAAGAAAATCTCTAGGATATTAAAAGGTGAAGCAACATCTTTTCAAATTGAAGAAGAATTGTCAGTAAGTGTGACCGTCCTTTTCAAGTACGCACCAATAACATCAGTAGACGTTGAAAGAAGCTTCTCCTGGTATAAAAATTTGCTTTCAGACAAGAGACGCTCGTTTACATTTCAAAATATTAAAAAAAAAATTAATAATCCACTGTAATTCTGATATTTAGTAATATTATGAGATGGAAGTTGTTATATTCATTTAAGTTTCTATACAAAATGAAAATGTTTTGGAGTCAATATATTTTCCTTTTTTTTTTTATTTTAGGATATAAAACATATTTTTCAAACTTTAATGAACGTAGAACAAGTATTGCATTGCTTTATATTTTTTGAAACGACTCATAATAATTTTAAAGAGTAAAACATTGTTTCAGTTCAATATTTTTACTTCTATTTAAGTCATGTCATAAGGAATTTTTTGCGCAATTTTTGCATTTTAAGGGCATTTTTTACACTTTTAAGGACATTTTTTGCCCTTTTTAAGGGCATTAATTGAGATTTTTTAGGTCATCAAAATCCGGGCTCTAGTCATAACTTTTGACATATTTATATTTAAGGACTTTTATGACTCCATATAGAATAAGATTCAGTATTATTATTTAAACTAATGAGAAAAATACATCTTTAGCAGATTAATTGCAAAAGCTGAGAATATTAAACCAATGGAAAAACTCTTTTTTCATTAAAAAGACAAAACACAATAAAATGTAATAGCACAAATTTGTTGAAAAAACTATAAATAAATAATTTGACTAAAAGAAGTTGAATAAAGAAAAATTAGAATATTTAAATTTGATAACTGTCAAGATTATTTGTGTAATTAATATTCAAATATGAACTCGAATACTCAAAATTTAAAAATTTACCATTTTTATATTTTGTTCATATAAAACAGTAAAAATAATAAATGAATTAATAATATATTATAATTTGAAAATTACATAATATTTAATGTTTTTGAAAGAAATATTTACTGTTAATAATAAAATGAAAATTCTGATACTGATGGTAAACAATTTTATTTTTAATTTGTTGACAGATTTTTAATTTGTTGTCATTTTACATATGTGTTTTCATCAAGTTCTATAATCGAGATGAACATTTATTACA